ATGAATTTCCAGGAGCTGAACGACATGTCTTTATTAGGTGTTTACACACCGATAAAGTTGCTGTTTCTCGTTCGCCATTGGTTAGCCAAATCCGGTAGTGTTCGGTAAAAGGTTCTTGGATCCGATGACAACGCGTAATATAGTCAGGTGTACAGGAACATGTGAATTTTTGGATGCACACAGATTTGGACACAAGTGATAAGTTATCTTTAACTTATTATCCAAACAAACGATAGCTGAAGAATGTCAACCATAGGTTGTCTTCAATACTTCAGGTGTGGCAGTTCCTTTGAATCACGAATTCATAGTTAAAATTTCCTTATCAACTGTGACTGGGTAAGGGGCAGTCTCCCGACCGATAGTTGCTACCTTGACGTAGTGATTAAACTTGCATACCAAAGTTACCCAATGAGGTATGCTGGTTGAATGCTTGTTCTTTGAAGTCCTAACACACGAGAGAGATCTGTAGGATAGTTGTAAGACAAAAAGTGTTTATCTTTGTCGTATGAACTGCTATGATGAGCATCTCAGGCCATTGATAAGTGCTATGTTTTGAGACTTGTAAACAGGACCTAAGTGTAGTTGTTCCCTTAACCTCATCAGGTTAATAAGGTGAATCTGCAAAATTCACCCTTCGAGTTTCTTGAGAGCCGATGGTTGGTTCACACGGCCTTGCAAGAATAGGTGTTGCACTAAATGCTGCGGCAGAATGGGCACTGTACGGCTACGTCCCAGTTGATAATCACCTGTGCACTGTTCAACTGAAAGGTGTCGTCAAAACTAAAGAGAATGGTAAGACTAACTATCTTCTCTTTGTAATCTCTGCATATGTACCCACTAACTGCACATCCAACGAAGTGAAAGAGGAGTTCTACTGAAAAATATCTAGTCTCCTACTGGAAGCTAAACTTTTAGAGATGTTTATCGTAATAGGTGGTTTCACTGCGCAAGTGAGTAGAGGGATTCAGATAGAAAGCCACTGGGATGATATTTTTAGAATCTCACCGGACGAAACGATAGCAGCTCTCTCCCGCTACATCTTTGCTCAAACAATCACGTTTTTCTGCTCTACACGAAATTCGGACATGAACGGAGACTTCAACTCAACTGCGAACAAGGACTAACCACATTGCTACCAGTACTCGCTGGACAAGATCGCTGAAAGGTTGCTGTCTTTCCTAGAGTACGTATATGGATAGCAATTACGCACTCGTTCAAACACACGTTTTTTGCACCTAGATGGTCGTGAGGCAACCACGGCAATAAGACCATTGCAACTACTGCTTGGTGATCAGAACCCTAATGGTGTTTTCACCGGGAAACTGGCTAGACAGTTATCGTAACAGGACGACATCAGTTAACCAGCCGAAGCCTGGTGCCACATCCATCCTACTGTAAACGCAGCGCTGAAGACAGCAACACCCTCAGGAAAAGGCTATGAAGGGCTGTTGCACCACAGTAGATTATTCTGAACTAATGAATGCAGGTAAACTTATTCCTGCAAGCTTTGAGGACATTGAGGAGCGGCAGCAAATCAAATAGATATTCATAAGAAGCCTACAAAATAACTAAAAAATAGTGGTGGGCAGCGATAACTGAAGAGATAGGAAAGGTAGCAGCGATGGGTAACAGTATACAGTTATTTAGACTTGACAGAAAAATAAGACGTAAAGTTAATGGTTAGTGAGACTACACCAGAGAAGGATGGGTCTGTTATTCAGTCACAGAGAAGACGACTAGAACGACGGATGGAGCACTTCGATGAACAGTTCAAACGACCTCAAGTTACTATTCCGTTGACTATCATCCGGTCAGATGTTCAATGAAACATCTAGATAGGGCCTCCAAAACTTGCAGAAACATAGAAAGTTGTAAGTAATCTGAAGTAAAGATGGGTAGCAAGTCCAGACGAACTAGTACCAGAGGTATTTAAAGACTGTACGGTAGATGACTTTTAGTCAGATTGACTAAAACTTTAGTTAGCGTATGGAAGTCAGATACGATCTCGTGTGACTGTCTTAATCACTGATTATCCCTGTTTCCAAGATGGTGGAGAAATCCTCTTTTGATAACCACAAGGCAATCAGCCTGAAAACACAGTGTTTAAGATTCTAAGTTCTACAATCATTAGACGCCTGAGTGGAGCTTGAGAACAACAAGCCTGAGAAAACTAGACACTCTTCAAACTTAACAGTGGGTGTATCTACCAAATATTCACACTCCAGGTTCTCGAACACAGGCACGCTTACGAACGCCCGACGCTAGCTGTATTTCTCGACCCGAAAGTGGCATTTGACTCGGTCGAAATATAAGTCTTATGACAATGTCTCTTACTGAAAGGAGTACCGAATAAGTACATTACCTTATTTTACGCTCTTCACTCGAACATCTATGGGTGTGGTGAGGTGTCAAGTGAGCTGTGTACGCCAAGTGGTGTCCGTCAACGATGTTTACTCTCTCCATTCTTATTTGGTTTTATCATAGACGCTCTTATGGAAGTCTCCCTTTCGTCACCTGACTAGACAGGGATTGAACTAATCACAGGAAAAAGCTTGGTAGACTTAGAATACACTGATGATATAGTCCTGTTAGGCGAAGAAGCTGACATGATGTAGAGTATTCTGGACATTATGAGTGGCAAGTTGAGAATGTTTGGGGTGCTTTTCTCGCCACTTAAACGCAAATTACTGCTCCGGGACTGGTCTTCAACCGTACCCCGGCTAACAGTAGAGAGTCGAGTGGTTAAATGCGTTTAACATTTCACTTACCTGGGAAGTCGGATGAGCCGTGGTGCGTTGGTCAGTGGCCGACGAAATCTCTGCACGAATACAGAGGGCTAACTTGGCTTTCGCCTAATTAAGCGGCTGATAGCCCCAACGTGATATCCGATCACTTATTATGGGTCGAGTGTACTATGCTGAAGTTCGCTCTGTTTTACTATAAGGCTGTGAAACATGGCCAATAAAGGTAGAGGACAAGTGAAGGCTTCATATGTTTGATCGAAACTACATTCATGGGCCATGTATTGTGATGTTACCACTTGAGTAAAATAAAAGTCAGACCTAGAATATAAGACAGAAGAGGAAAGTCAATCAATTCAGCTGACGGGGACATATGTTTCGCATGTGTAGTTATCGTCGTTTCCGCGACACAATGTCACCTGAGGTAGTCTCAGGATGTGAAAGAGTTACATCATTTCCTGACGTGTCTGACTATTGTTCCAAGCCATGCAAAGAAATGTAAACTCCCCGGTTAGGCTCCGCGTGACTGCAGAAACCGGTGATTGAAAACTGTAGGTGGTAAGTCAGTGGCGCAAATATATCCTCACATATCCTTCATCCTAATCGACCAACGGAATTTCGTTATTCTCTCATTCGATTATTGGTCCCTTTCCACGACTGTCCAACACTTTTTACACCTTTCTTCTTTGTTGATTCGGTTAGAGGTAATCAACAGGAAGCCCTGCTTTACATAGGTTTCGTTCTTTTCAGCACTCGTCAGCAAGATATATCTGCAGCCTCGAGAGGACTGACGTCCCCTCTAGGATTCGAACCTATGTCACGTAGTGCCTCAGTCACTGACGTCATCACGGAATGGAATCCACCTTCTTTAGGACTGGACGAGATACACTGATTAGTCACTGGAGAGCGACCATTCCCAATATTTAACCAGATCCCATAGATCACATTTTTCCGTAATTTTCTTTCATCTTAGTGTTTGCTTGTTTAATGTGCGGCTTGAACTGCTACGTAGTAATACCACGTCCTTTGTCATCTGAATGGGAGATAGTGTAATCGGTTTTATCTCTTAAGGTAATTTATAGATATCTAAATCGACTGACTCCACAGATCGATCTTTCCGCAATTCATGAACAGCTGAAGCACCAGCTATACATGATGAAAAGCCGAAACTATGCATTCAGAAGCGTTTCATTTAACCTTTTTCTGTATCTCAGCCCTAACAATGCATCGTTTCATGAATTTTATTCTACTTTAACTTGTATATTTCATATTTTACAATTATTTGACAATACCTGAGCCTTACTTCACCGTTTGAAACATTCTCCTTTTCTCAGTGACTCCTTTTCTACTTCGTACACTTTAACCAATACCCAAGGAAATCAACGACAGGAACCAACCGATCTCAATGTTGGGAAACTGAAATAACTTACGCATACCTAAATACACTTTTGTACAGAAAAAGCCTGTTTCTATCATAAGTTTAAAAGTCAGCAATGGCAAAGAATACTCCTTCAATAAGAACAAGTCAACCAACCAAAATAAACCATCTCCCCTCTAATATAGAAGAGAACAACAATAAAAACTATAAAACCTTCCCTTCAGTCAAGCAAAAGAGCCAAGCAGTCGCAACAAAGTGACCTCATTATACTGCAAGGGGACGAAAGCAGTCGACCAGTAATATATGTACTCACTCCTCTTAGAAAACTAAAGGCAAAAGTCAACCAGTCATGTTCAACATGCACTCACTAATCGATCAACCAATTGCCTAACATCTTTGTGAAGGCCTACTGCACTGACAACGATATCTAAAAAGATACTGGAAAGTCTACCAAGCAAAATCCTGACTCAGTGAATAACTCACTGTGAATATCGACACCCTAAGCTACAAATATTCGTTGTGAAGACAGATTTATAAATTATATGATACATGAAGGTACGATCACTTGATGTAGACTAGTAAAGAAAAGCAACTGAAAGCAGTTCTGAAGAAGAGATATTTTCTCACATCGACTAAATAGAGGTAAACTATTTTTTTAAAGTGATGCAGCGCATCATCAATTGGTAAATACTAATCCATAGCTACTTTGTTAATCAAAACAAGATGATTGATCTGAGGAAAGTTCCCAATTACGTAATTTAAAATAAAGGCATTCAAAAAATCGGAAAACAGTTTATTTTCACATCAAACCTCCCGACCAATCAAAAAGAAGTGAAATAAGCTGACTAATCAGAATCAACGCAGAAAACAGACTGACTTACCCAGATTGCAATCGACAAAAATGCGAAAACAATAGCTGAACGAGCATTACTCTCTTGCCATCCTTCCACTTTGTGCTGTTCTAACCATTCATTAGACGTGTTTGTCCACTTGTTTGCAAGTAGGCAAAAGCTAACAAACCATAAAAATGTCCACAAACCTATATTTTGAAAAGGTAAGAATGTAAATATGCATATACACGGCTGTTTTTAGAGTGATTGATATATGTATATAATAAATTGACTTTAAGAATGTTCAGTAATGGGTAGAAGCTGTAATATACTTTTAAGAAGCAAATAGGTACCTCAAGTTATGATATGATGAAAAGATTATAAAGCATTCTTCATTACATTTAATGGCAATCGGTAACTTCTTAAAAACGCTAAATCGCAACCATTTTTATCCTTGAGTGTATACAATGAGCATAAACATTGGTGAAAAGAAACAATAGGCAAGGTTCTAAACACACAAACAACTGACATCCTCCCGTAGACAATCAGTTCATCAGTGCGTCATCTCACTGCTCATTTCAGTGTATATCTATCAGTCTATTTATTCCTGTGAAGCGACCTACGTTGCTTTTGTTCAACTTGTCTTTCCACGGGTTCGAACCCCTCTCTACCTACTCAGATGTGGGCAGCCAGATAGTATTATTAACCCCCACACAAAAGGTGTGGTTCATTGCCTACTGCATGAATGCTCACAAGGTTGTTGAGTGTACTTTGATTTTCAATTCTACAGGAGTGAAAATATACCAACAGTTTAATTCTTGAACATTTCGTCAACTCCGGACATCTGGTCGCTCCAAATAATTCTTTCGAAGTAATTTACAGAGTGCCTTTCCATACAACTTAAAAAACTTCGACAACGCCATCTACGCATGACTGAATCACTGGTAATTTACAAACTTGAACCTGATCATTTTGTTAAAAGCATTACGCGCACTAATTAGCCTTGCCATGGCCAGATTAGGAATTGCATTTAGTCTTGGAAGTCATATTACCCAGGTGACCCTACTGATTAGTAGTAGACAATCATTTGTTTTTGATGATTACAAATAGGATTGTATCACTTAAGTTCAAGAAATTGTCGAAAATAAAATTTTCTTTACGGCTAACTTTTATTCTATGATTACAATTTACAAGTGGTTTGGTTTTTCAGGAAGTATGATACTCAGATGATAGTCTTTAGCTTTTCACCGATTTTTCTACATTTCTTCATCGATCATCTCATTGCTTTATTGCTTGATGTACTGATGAGGTGCGGTAAATTGGACCGTTTCGAAGTAATGCCTGGTTCAATGTTGATATTAATGGTGATGAATGATCAGATAGACTGTTCACTGAGCATTCAAATTTCTACTCAATTTTAGGCTCTAAAATACCAACTCATTACAAATACCATGGATTTGGGGCTCAATACTCAAAACACTCTTTTTTATTGTATTATACGTTAGAACCCGCTCTCTCGTTCTAAGTAGGTCATTAGTATTACAGCCAACAAAACAGACACAAAATCAACGCGTAACCTCGCACATATACGTGCATAGGTCCAAGTTGCCACACTTCACATTAGTGCACAAAGAATAGGTGGATATAAAAAGTGATATCAAAGTAAACAAAGCCGTGTGAGAGAGTAAACAATTTCAAGATAAACGTCGGTGCAAATATTCAAGCTTTAGAAGACATCAAAAAGTGACTGCATCTACCCCCACTGCGATAAATTTTCAGCCGTATCAGGAAGGGACTCCAACTACTGATTCCTATTGTCTTAGAGACCCCAACCAGTCAGTTTACATCTCCCCACATGACAGACCAACAGTCAGGAAGTTCATCGACTGGTGCCACATCTTCGTCTGGCCATCCTCAACCCTATTATTCCAACCTAATCCAACGTTCCCTAGCATAACATGTTGAGGTAAGCGGTGACTTGGCATACGTGTTATATGTCCAAGCCATCTCGGTCGAGGAAGGTTCGCAGCCTCACTGAATGACTTGCCTTTCTTCTTTAGTACCCTTCGCTTGACCTCAACATTGCTCATGCAATGATTCCACCAAATGCAATCAATGCTGCGAAGACATCTGTGATCAAAACCCTACAATCACTTCGTGATTTCTATTTCTAGGTGAGATTTCGCCCGTTCGAGCTGGTGCAACTTCCAAAGTGTGTGAAGTGGTCGACACAATCCACCACTTCACTTCCTATCATTAAACTCCGAGCACTTACAGCAGACCAATCTTGAAGCATCATCTTACATTTGATAGGTGTAAAACGCATGCCAAAAGTACTCAGATCTCTGCTCAACACGTTCACATGACCCCGCATTTTGTCAGCACCTTCACCCAGCAGAAGAATATCGTCTCCGTACACGAAGTCACCCAGATGGTCTCCAGGGAGTAGATCAACCCCTGTGAAGTCAGACGTACATAAGATTATGCCCATCAGTATGTCTTTGATGAAGTTAAATAGGAATCATGATGGTGAACATCCGTTGCGGACACCATTAGTTGTGGTTAGTTCGCATGACAACTCACCATAAACTCTTATACATATGCGTGCTTTCAAGTAGAGAGGTGTGACAGAAAAGATTGACATCAAAATTTTTACTGGTATTATAAAACTGATAACTTTGCAGAACAACTGAAGTGCATTGGAATCACCAAACGGATGATGTAGAATCACTTTTTAGGGTTTTCGACTGGAGTGTGTTAATACTCCCAGAATATTTTGCTTCAGTGAAAATTGAACAAAAAGGGAACAGATATGTATAGACTTAAAAGTACGAAAACCGATCCGTTTGGTAAAAAAAAATTGGTCGGTAATTTGCGAAATTCACTTAACGTAGCAATCAGACAGGAATTGAAGACATTACTGACCACCAATCTATTAAACTTAGCATTTTAAGAATTTTATCACCTGACAGTCTATATGTGAACCACCACCATTCATTTCTTCATTTCTTGTTACAAAATCATATTTAAGACTGGTTTGACAGTTGCAGTGAACTTGGTGATGATGTAATCACTATCTTCTGAAGACCGAACGAAAAATGTTTACGTACCCTTTTGGTAAAATCCGTTGGAAATACTTTCAAAAAGGTCGACCTGTAACAGTGAGCTAATTATCCACTTCATGGTTAGTGAAAACGTTATAACATATTCTTAGACTTAGAGCACGGAAATAAAGTCCGGTGTCTTTTCGATACAAGACGTGATGCGTGTACTTAGAGTTGCACCAGGCACTATCACCAAAGTGGTATGGAAACTTCCCTACACTAAGACTGTATGTGTAGCTTGTGATAATCGAAATCCTGTTTTTTCTTTATAATGAGTATTTATTGAACTGCTCCAACGCCTAAAGCTGTGCTTAAGAAGTGCAGTTGTAATTCATTGGACTAGACATCTGATTTCCAGCCGACGGGTCGCGGGTTCGAACCCAACTGCATCTTTCGAGGTTTGGACAGCCACGTATTATCATTAGCCATCACATGCCTGCTGCAAGAATATACACAATGCTGATGAATGGGTTCTTTCATACTTAAAATTACCCGAAACCTGGTCGTCAGCAAGACAGGTTATCATTGATTGTTATACGATAGCTTCTTGTGAATTTGAAACGCATATACTCAGCAGTGTATGGATACATTCAGAAACTAATAACAATAGAAATAAATAATCAAGTTGAAACTGACAACAACTAACAATTTTAAATTTTTCTTTCGTACTTTTTACTCCAACAGCATAAGTTGGCTCAACCTATATTTCATCAATGCTGTGTCAGTTTAGAAGGTAGTAGAGATTCTTTTTTGACAGAGATTCTAATTACGTAACGATGAGTACTTACTCTTTCTAAAATCTTATTTAAGCAAGGTGTAGATCTCGTAATATTGTCAAGTACTAGGTACTCATTATATATGCCATTTTAAACATATAAGGATAGTTTTCATCACGGACTGATATCAGTTGGGGAACTATTTAAAACCTGGGAGCACTGGACTGGTGTTTCGTCTTAGTATGAGACTCATTAGCAGTATGCACGCACGACCCTGCTATGGATAGAACTCAGGACAGACTTGAAGGCATTTACGTTGAATTTGTTTATTATTCAGCTACTGGGTCGGATTTCAATGAACCAAAGCTTCCTACTTCTGTCGGTTTGTGATATAGCGCGACTGTCCACCAAGGTCTTTAGTTGGAATCTACTTCACTTCCTACTGATTGACCCAACAGTTTTGAAGTAGGAAACTCTGAACCATTGAACTCTGACCCAGTGGCTGATTTTTTAATGCCTTTGTGAGGAAACCTGGAGGTCGTGAGTTCGATCCCTAGTCGAGTCGTGGGCGCTCAATGCTGAGGTGTCCCATACTAGAACGAAACAGCTGTCCAGTCGTGCCATATTTATAATGAATCTCCAGCTTATGTCAGTCCATGATCAATACTACCTTAAGAATGAAATCCCCGAAAATCTCAAGCTACACGTAAGTTATTAGCACACTAAACCGCTTCATAAACGTTCTACTTCACCATGTTAGGACTAATTAGATCAGCAAAGCATTGCTGAAATAAAGAAAAAAAATTGTCATGGATCACAATGACTTAGCTAAAATAGATTGCTGGCTTCAAGAAAAGACACAGAGCTTTTCATGATTAATAGGTAAAATCACTATTAGTGACCAAGATGTGTTATCTGAATCTCCGCTTTCAACAGAGGATATCATAAAAATCGTTAGAGATATGCTTCGAATCCCCATAATTTATGTTTAGAGATAGAATTTACCGTCAGTCAAATAGAGTTGCAATGGGTTCATCAGCACCTCAAATTGTGGCGAATCTTTACATGAAGGCTTCTGAAGTGACAGCATTAAACAGTTTCTAGTGCCAACCCAGAATTTGGTGTAGACATGTGGATGATACGTTTTTAATTCCTAAAAAAGTAAACCAACAGGCTTTTGTGAAACGAAGAAATCCTGTTTCAGATTCGATAAAATTCAGTAGGGAAATCTAATGTAAGAACTGAACTCTAAACAAATTAAGTTTTCTTATCCAAAGAACGACTGTAGGTAAGTACTACTACTAATAGTAATAAAGATACAATAAAACATGGGCGTCATATATGATGATACCATATCAGAAAGGTACTTCTGAACAGATTAAAAGAGTATGCCCTTCGTATAGCATTAAAGTATGTTTTAAACGTTCAAATCTATTAGACAAGATCTTAGTCAAAGTGAAAGATACAATTCCTAAGATGACAGAGAACAACTGTCTACAAAATAACATGTTTGGAATATGAAACTGATTATGTTCGAGAAAGTTTCAGACCCAAAAAAGTTAGGGTAAATAAGCACAAACAATGTACTAAACGTACATCGGAGGATAAAGATGAAATAGAAGAGTTACAAAAGCGATCAGCAGTAGCTCTGCATGTAATCGAAAGTGAACATACAATTAACTTTGATAATGTAGACATATTGGGAAAGAGTTTGTATTCTCATAAAGAAATTTTAGCTTCCCGAGCACTACATACTTCAACAACATTAAATGCTGTAAAGAGGAGAGATGGGAGAACAGACTTGTCATCTACTTGGTAAACATTAATCTGATAAAGTCAATAATGATAACCTTTTCTAATCAGTAAGAACGAATGACTGTTCATCAATGAGCAAGGATTCTCATACACGTACAAGAAACAACAAACACACTTTGAACATCCTACATTTTTCGTTGACAAATGATAAATGAACTTTTAGGGACTAATCCTAATTGCTCAGTATGAACAAGAAACCAAATAACCAGTGACCAAAGCTCAGAAAAATCTTGTTTTGGTTTCCCAAATATGCTGAGATTATATTAAAATATTTTCCTATAGTTATTAAATCAGACTCGGCTCTCAACTTCTTCCAGAACATTCGCAATAACTATAGTTTGGATGTTGATAATCATTTGAGAAACAATAGAATTTCTTGATATCATAACCAGTGGCAAATAGGTAACTAATTTGAGTTTTACTATTTGAGGTAGCCGTGGTTTGACAGACTAGTGTTGATACTGAGTGACGACTGAAGGTGAAATGAGAATTTGAACCGCAGCGGATTCGAACCAGCGACTACTGTCTTTCCCGATCGGTACTCTATCAACTGGGCTACGAAACCCGACTTGCTGGTCAGATTTTTATCTCACTTCAATCATCAAAGGTTTTACTCGACTGCCGTATGAATTCATTTTGCCTTACTAGCGCCTGATCATATCCAGACTGGCTGCCAAGTGAGGACTTCTCATACAAATCCAAATCTAATTGAATTGGAGAGAGGAGCATCATATTGATTATGTATTTGACTATCTGAGATAGCCATGACTTGGCAGACTTGTATTGATACTAAGTGATGATTTAAGGAGAAATGGAAATTTGGGCCCATGTGAGTTCGACCAAGTGGTAGTAACGCGTCTCACATTCACATGGCAGTTGGGAGAAACCCTTGGTGATTGAAGTGGAACCAAGATCTGGTCAATAGCCTGGTCTCGTAGCCCAGTTGGCAGAACGTCAGGCTGGGGACCCAGTGGTTGTTGGTTCGAATCCTACCTCTGTTAAAATTTCCATTTCACCTTCAATCATCGTCCAGATAACTAATTTTAGCAGAAACACTTTTCCTATGTGAAAACAGTGGAAACAAGAATACAATTCGCTGTAAGAATAGTCATCTTTGTTTTGATTCTCCTTAAAATAGTAATATGCATCTGAGACTATAGACAAACTGCTGGGATTAACCGTATAAACAGAAAGAAATTTGCATGTCAATTGTTATCTTAGGTACTGGAATACTAGAAAAAATACAGTTTATCAGTTCGGAGAGATTATTCAAAGCTGGCGTTTATTTTTGTTATTGACATTGTACATCTTTTGATCTATCTTGATACTTTAAGTTGCAATCAAGCTCAAAATACCAGCAATAGGAGGCGATGGGCGTTGTTTACAGCCATTTTCTCACAAAGAGTGTAGTGATGACAGAGAAATAAAAATTATACCTGCAGATATTCTGAAATTTAGCCAACAAGTGTTATAGGCTGAATGAATTTGGATAGAATGAACAGAAGTAGCAATATGGGATGTGGGGATCGATGACAGGTAAACTTCTTTTGTCATTTCAATTTAGGAGTGGAGCTGCAGAGTAATTCAATAACACGTAGTGCTGAAGCTTGTAAGACTCAAATATACCATCGCCAAAAAGATACTGTTACTTTTCTAATAATCACTCTAAAGTTGTTAACCAGTTAAATTAGGAAATATCTTATCTAAACTGTCTATAAAGCTCACCTAGTTAAATCACTTTAGAGTTATTACCATCCAGAGAAGCGGGGGTATTCGGATCATCCTCTTCTGAACATGTAATTTCGGTCCCATTGTTCTACAGCAAACACTCTGGCTCTTTCGGAGAAGCAAAAGACGGACTCTATGTGATAGTCTGTTCTAAATGCGATGAACTATTGAAGACAACATTTTTGGTAAGTCTTTTCCCATGTGTTTAGATAGATTCCTAATATCACTGTACCGTATTGATACGAGGCGGAAACAATTATTAGTTGATGAAGTTAACCTAGATGAATCATTCAGTAATTACTAAGATGTCTTTCTCAATAATCCATCCTGTTCTGAACAGACTACATGGAGCTGTGGCTCATTGGTCTAGGGAGTTGACTGCAGTCAATGGGTTATGTTTTTGGAACCCACTCCACCTACCGAGGTTTGGGCAGCCAGCCAGGTAGCATTATCAATGTCCATCACACAACAGGTTTGGCTCACTGCCTGCCTACTGCACGAATTTGCATAAGGTTACTGTGTGCATTGCTACCTTTCTCTTCCGAGAACACAACTTCATCGGTTAGAAAAATTTCTTTAACTCCTACAGCTTCAACTTGAAAACATACCTGAGAAGGCTAAATCACCAGTAATAACTATTTTTCGTCTTTTCAGATTAGAAATCGAGTTGAACATGAAATCGCTAGCAAGAAATATAATTGTGCCAAGAAAAGCGAAAACGCCGATTGCAACAGGAAAGTTACAAGCACTAGATGTCGCACCAAAAATGCAAACACCTTGATGTGTATGACAACCTGATGAAATTGATCCAAAAGTTATTACTGAAGTGAGCTGAAAATGAGAGAAGATAAAAAAAAAAGTGAAACAACATACAAACAATATTGGTGGAGTGTATTTATGAGTTGTATGCATTGTCTAATTTGTAGTATGAGTTGAATCTCTTATGAGCTAGAGAATTAATGTCTACTCATAGGCATGAAAGCTTGTGATAAACTGCAGAACAGTGATCATGTTCATGTCCTTTAAACGATAAGCGTGCATTATCTGGCTTTATCAGTTATCATGACGTTGAAACATAAAGACCAGGTTTTTAAATAAGGTTAATAGAAGATCGAATAAAAACAACAACCTATTATTCCGAAGAAGCTGAAGCACACACAGCAAAATTTTCAGAAAAATCTTACTTGGATTTGCCAAAACCGACTAGATTATATTAAAACTTACTTATATAAAGACTGCAACATATTACTGTCTGAAATCCACATACATATCAATCACCAGTGGAAAATTCAGTAGACTAAATGCAACATCACAGCGATTACATATCCATCAATGTCAAAATTAGACTTTTATCTCTCACGGTCAAACCTTCAGGACACTGCATGGTTTCTTTTACCTTACAGCTTGTAAATCTGCGTTGTTCATTGGACCGACCACTATTATCATACAAGCTTCTGTGTGGATGTTTCTATATAGCTAGAATTTTCAGTTTACATGTTAATGATAGATAGTGGCTAGCGGTATAATCCAGTAGAATCGTCAGTTGGATGTGCCTGCCTCCCAGTGAGTGATATTGTTCCCACTAAGAACCAGAACCATTCGCTTCAAATGCCACTTCTTGTGTGACGGGTAAAATGTTTTTCATTACTTGTAATTCTGTCACTGTTTGCATCAAGTTAATTAGGCAGGTAAATCCGGTTGACGAGTCCCAAACGGAAGTCTCAAATATTATCTGGTTGCCTAAACCTTGGTAGGTGGGGCGGTGTTCGAACCCGTGACCTACTAGTTGAAAATCAACTCCATAAACCAATGAGTCACAACTCTTAATTGATAAAGTTATTGAAATTAAACTTAACTCTGATATAAAATGAAGAGAATGGATAACGGGTAAGTAGAATATCTCTGGAATGCATTAACAAGTTTGTCTTGAGATGTAAATGATCTTTTGTGGTTCTTATAGAAACAGGATTGCGAGAATATTACATCTTTTTAAGTCAGTTCAGGTTATAGTGAATGCGCAATTCTCTATAATAACTGTTTCAATATTCTGGTTTCATGTACAACCTCAAGGCTATTATTGAATGTACTCAGTTATTTACCGGCGCATAAAAATGTGTCAAGTTGAAAGTGTTTGGCAAGATTATGTAATGGAAAGAACAGAGTGACTAATAAATAGCCTTCAAAATGACTAAATGACAGTTTTTAATGAGAAAAAAGGGAAACTACTACAATGAGTGAAGTGTAATTGGTTGCTAGCAACGGAATACAGCTTGACGCGCGTTTTATCCTATTTTGGACTCACTCGTCAGTTGAGTGTACCTGCCTCCTCGTGAGTGACGTTGTTTCTACCAAGAGTAGAACCTAGGACCAGTCGCTTCAAACTCATGGGTGTTATCCACCAGGTGACCGACGCATAGGAAGTGGCTATCGTGACTCAGTGGTCGGTTTCGGATTCAGGTCTTAGTGGGAACAACATCGCTCACTGAAAGGCAGGTATACCCAACGAACGAGTCTTAAATAGGATGAAACGCGCATCCTGGATTCCACTCCTGGCCAACATCCATAACCTAATGTCAAAATGCATCTATTTTACCTACAGGACGCACTCGTTATTCATATTTCAAGACACAAACTTTCTGAGAACTTTCTATCATATGATTGAAGCAATATTTGAGTGTCTTAAGTGTTCTCTGAAGGTGCTTTAATTAGTATGCTAGCTATCAAAGGTGAATTGATCTTAGAATAAAATGATAATCACTGTGTTAATTGTAATTTCAACTATGGTAACTCATTGTCCACATGAAATGCCAGTGGTGCTTTGAAGATTATTTCCAAAAGAAAATATTGTTTGAGCTAAATGATTCTGGTAAAATAAGAAGTATTAGAAATACAAACACCCAAATCCTTATACAAGATACGATATGCCAAAATACTACTACTCATGTTTCTACGATATGATAGTTTGAAAAGACTTAAACTTTCCAATCGCGTTTCATAGGCAAGACGAGAAGTTAGGGCATTAACTGAGTGCCTATTCTTGTACCCGTTTTAGATTATATGCTTCTCTCGTCAAAAAAATCTGGCTGCTTTTATGCAATATTCAAGGTGAGATCTTATTTGAGTAGGACACAGTATCCTAAATATATCAGCATTAAAGTGCCTACAGGCCCTCCTTAATGACCATGGTGTTTCAAGTGCTTAAGCTGCAAATATCTGAAAATATGCTGATGTCTTCAAGTTTTCGGCAGTAAAAGCTCATAGGTCCTTCTTTTCACTAAAGTGTTATGGTGTTGATTCACCTAGAGTGTAATAATATTCAAGCCGTCGTTATATGTGAATTACTTCAGTATTGGTAAAATTGACTTCCAGAATTTAGAGCCTAGACCATCTAAGTCAGTTTGAAGCCTTAACGGACCTTAAGTATGATGAAAAACCTTTCATACCCTAACATCACATGCGAATATCAAATATGATTACGCAATAATCCCTTGTAGCTCACCAGGTTAAAATATGAATAGGTGGCTTTAACATTTTGTCCTAGGAGACCCTGCAAGTAACCAGTTTTCATTCAGAGCGTACTCCGTCTACTCTCGCTCTTCATCGCTTATCGTCTAGGTGGTCCTTCAACCACTCTTTCAAGTGAAACTCTTGGTCAAAGTCTTACTGAAGTCGATAAATACCAAGTCAATGGGGACCTTAGTGTTCGTGGCTTCTACCGATTCCTCCCTTGTTAAAAGTAAATTCATCACACCTGAGCATCTGGGATAAAAACTGAGTTGTCGATGCAACAATAAGCTATGTGCTTTATTATGCCTCAGCAATGTATGCTTAATTATTTGAAAAATTTGCAAGTAATACTTACAGGACAACAGTTATTAACCAGTTAACTAGTACTGTTCTTGAAAATGTAACGAATCATGATGCTCTACCATTCCGTAGTTGATTAAGCCTAAAACAATTGTACTTTAAATGTCTCTGTAAATGGTCACTGAGTGATCTCAGACGAAGCTATTAACAGCTTAAGTGAACTTTGTCAAGACCTAGGGATATATCAGACTTCAGGCTATTGAGTGGTTTCAATACTATTCCCCATCTACCGCAAAAGGGTACCATTTGGGGTCAGCAAGCATAATAGTGCCTAGCATTTCCACTTCACCTTAAACCAACAAAATCCCGCAGAAGTAGTTGGATAGGTTTCCAGCCTTGTCTGTGTCCGACTAAGCTAATCCATCTGAGTTCCCATTAGGAGGTAGACTGAGAATCCCACCATACCTTCTGTGCCTGGATCTCGTTTGAATGAATAGTCTATTGGGAAATTCGATACATTCACTCAGTAGTTGCTTTTCTTAACTAATGCGACTTGTAGTATCAAGAGTCTTACAGATGTTCCGTAGTTAACAAAACCCCAATATATCACCTCCCATCTCCATATACGAATCCTACAGGCACTTCCTCAACTTAAGTAACTTTTTGATCTAACTATCTACCCATGAAGACTTATGAAGTTCATGTGGTATTGACCAAGTGATGAAAATAAATTCGAGATTTCTGAACATAGTATTAAATTTCTTCAGAAGGTTTTCAACTTTTCGCTCTATACTTCCGGAGCAGTTTGCTAAGAATGTAGTGTCCTTAATTGTCAAAATATCTGCTTGATTTTCTGGCCTTTCATCCCAAATTTAAAGAGGTAGGAGTTATGCTGACCATTCAAACCTTCAAACTACTGTATAAAGACTAAATTCAGTAGTGAAGATCCGTACTATGGGTAAAGCACATAGGTACGGCTTCATTTTTTTAAAGAGCACAGCTGTGAAAATTTAGCAGAAGATCGTCATCGAAATAGTTACATGAACCTGTAGCTGAAAGCCCATTCCGATTGGCATGAGAAGCATTCAGATCTGCAACTAGCAAGTAGCTATAGTTAATGCTTCACGTACATAGGTGATCTGACAAAAAGTCATTGGTCAGGCGATTAGGAATAGGATATATGAGCCTGACTGTCATGGAGCCTTACCAATACATAACTTTTCAACATGTTACTTCATATGTACCACAGACATGGGTATGTGACACCGTCGACAGCAGTCTTATACCTCCCCAAATATAAAGCTACGCTGCCACCCTTATGAATAATGTCTCTATCATTCCCTACCCATGTTTATCCTGATTTGAGTAGTGTAAAGTCCACTGGTGCCAGTGACTACGTTTCTGTGATTTACATAAATACGGGTCTTAAAATTGACTAGTTCTCCAATTCACATCAAAAATTTATAAGACGAGATCATCCACTCAACTTATGAACGGTGGTCTCAACAATTTGGGTACAGAAATATTTCCACAAAAAATTCGGTATCTTTAGGTTTTTCCTGCCATTTTATAGCCTAGTTTTCAATTCAGCCGCAGATATCATTCTCTTTGTTCAAAATTTAGGAGGTCAATCAGGTTCGATTCTAATATTCTTGTCGTATGATTCATGTGCATTACCTAGGCCAAATCCTTTTGCTTACTATTCTTTAAGAATTCCTTGATTAATATTTATGGATTTTACAGTTTCTCTGCTCCCCACTTCATAAGTCTGATGATGTTTTCGACATAAAAACCAATTACAGTTCCCAATATTATCCTTTTTGGCACTGACCCTAATAAATTAAGGTTGTGAGTGAGTCACTTTGCAATGTCTCGTATTTTTGACACCATATTCCAAATTATGAGGCCACAAACAGATTCTCTTGAGAGTGATACTGTACTCATAGTCTTTGGTAACTTTTCTCAAAACTTTGCTTAGCAAACGGGTTTTCACGTAGCTTTATTGACTTTGCTAGCTACTTCAGTCTATGGAGACAATAGCGCTTCTTTATGAAGGTCAATTACTTGTCTGATCACTAGGTTCTTTTATTGGCAAACTAGCAGAACTATGGTTACTCCATTTTCTACCCCCTATCTTCATACGGGCACCCCGAGTCTTTGCAACAGGCATTTCATCATTAGTTCTATCATCTGGGGCCCTTGACTCTTCAGAAACCTTAGTGCCAGACACCATAGTGGCCTCCTGCTTCCATATATCAACGTTTAAAGACACCAAATATATCATCACCATCATTATTCTGTTTACCACAACAATTTGCGTGAGTTGCTGGACTTCCATGAGCTCAACCGTTTTTTAGATAAAAATTCAACCGGTTTGAAGCAGAAGTTGCGGCACCATGGATACACTGGTGTCACAAAGATAGAAATTTTCGGATGCCACTCAACATAACTACTGCACTGCATGCTTCCATCTATAGGTAAGTGACATTCAGATTGACAGTATTTTTGGTATCAACCATAATTATAAGTCAAGTGACGAGTAAGAACGTATACAAAGTGTCTGAATGAATAGTAAAAAATCTGTACACCGGATACCTAAACTCTAGAAATAAACATATTGTAAGCCAACATATTCAACATGAAAATTGCCTAATCCATGAATAAAATTTTCAAGACTTTTCTCTGTAAGTCAAACATATTATGCACATTTGGTGTATGATTTAACAGATGCTGAATGAAAACACTTATAGGATTAAGTTAATCGGGGATAAAACAATACATCCATTTAGTCTCGTAGAGCAGACGGACTTCAATAGAAATGACTCTTGTTGCCCTACAGATCATGTTTAGTAGCACTCCTGTGAGGCAATTAAGTAGCTATAACCAATTTTTCTTGTCCATTGAGATTTCTTCGTATCATGACGAAAACTCTAATAATAACCAATGGAACATATTCCATCGACACAAATGTAAATTATTAAAAAGAAGACGGTTTTCTATTTTCATGGTATAAAATTTAGGAATAATACTACGCAATTGAGTAGAAGCTTTTGTTAACATAGAACATCGTAATTCTTGTACCCCCTTATGATGTAAGCACGGCGATTACCAGGTGAAACAAGATAAAATGACTTAATTGAGAACTGCCTCTCTCAAGGTGAAATGATGTTCCTGAGATAAATGTTTAAACATTTGGTCATCATTGAAAGAAATGCGGAGAATCTTAACATTATTTTTGATTGCACAACTCACGAGAGACATTAGTCTTAATATTACGACAGGTTTTCGCAAAAACTCTAATATACTGCTGGTTGTTCCAGATTTTGCAGCAGAGAGTAAGTCAGCTGGATTCATCCTCAAATCAAATACAAAACGCCGCACCAAACTTATAAGAAGAGTGCAAATATGGCTAGCGTATTATAACAAATCATCTCTGCTAGAAAACGTAGACAATCATCGAGGAGGAATTTGTCTTTTACAAATCGAGTGCCATTTTTAATCGTTCATGTTTCGAATCAATTAAATATTTCTCGCTTTTGTACAGCTGTGTTTCTCGGTTGGGAGCACTTTAACGTAAAGCACTAGCTAGTAGTGTACAAAGGAAGCTGCTTACACTAATGATAACTGCTTTGGATCGATTTTATGAGTTCAGATAGATTCTGGTTCTCTCTGAAGCCCTGTGAGAATTAAAAGTAGTGAGAAAGGAGAAATGTCTCACGGAAGACGTGGTATTTTTACGCTAGTGATTACCCATTACACATGTTTGACGAAGGGTGTGTTTATTGCACAGAATACAATAAACTCACCACGTGAGGCGGAAATAATGCTAAGTCACTTGATTCCTTAATTATTCCAGTGTGAAAGCAGGTAGAAGGCCCTTACAAAGTGAATACAAGTGCATACATACATACAGATTCAGATTTGTTGTTTAAGGATAGGAGGCTGGGAGCCTATATTAATCACTTCCCACTGGATTTTTGTGCTGGTCCAATCTCCGTCTGAACTGGTCAGTTGACGATGCGGACACCAATTCTTCTAAGAGTCCGTTTCAGGAGTTGATTACTCGACGCGAGAACCGGTACGCCCCAGAGACTATGTTCATTCTTTGCTTTTGCAGCCTCCTACTATGTCCTCTGAAATGCCCCTACCTAGTGGGGAGGAAAAGAGAGGATAGATCAGGTCCAAAGTCATTTACTTGAATCCTTTATAGCATGATTAGGTCTCCCCTATGTCTGCGATAGGACAAAGTGAAGAAGTTCAGCTCCTTAAGTCGATCTTCATAGGTGAGGCCAGTCATCGCAGGGGTCATACGAGTGGCTGCCCAATGAACTCTTTTTAGAAGGTCTGCGTCACCTTTCAGACAAGGATTAGCCGTCTGTGTACAGTTTTCTAATTTAGACGTAACTATGGATGTGTATAAGATGGTGAATATGTCACCACTTATTTTCATAAACGTTCTACGCAACGCCCAGCTTCGAGCTGCTACCAATCGACAGTAAGCCGTGGTTTTCAAATCATAACTCACTGTGACTCCTAGGTCATTGTAGGTCAATACTGATGGTAAAGGAGTCCCATCAATGTCACAGGTGTTGCTGTGTGTGTGGCTCAAGGTCATGGTCACACATTTACCTACATTCATAGGCATCAGCCACTTCTCTGACCAGGTAAACAAGCCGTTCAGGTCTACCTGAAGCGCATGTATATCCTCATCGTTCCTAATTTCCCACCAGATTTATATATCATCAGCGTAGAGAATCATAGGGGACTTCGCGATATTTGGCAGCTCATTTTCGTATAGGAGAAACAGCAGGGGGTCCAAGACTGTGCCTTGCGGTACTTCACACTCTACCGACTTCCAAGAGGAGAGTTGAGAATTGATCCTTACTCTTTGTCTCCTACCAACAAAGAAGTCTCTTATCCATGCGAGCAGACTGCCAGTGATTCCAAAATTTTCCAGTTTCCCGAGCAACCTGGAATGAGGTACTTTGTCGAATGGCTTACCAAAGTCAATGAAAATGACCTCTACAGGTATCCTATCGTCTCTAGACTTAACCCAAATTTCTCTGACTGTAAGGAGGTTCGTCAAGCAAGAGAAGTTTCTACAAAACCATGCTGTGAACGCGACAATAGAGTATTGCTCTCTAGATGGACTGTGATAGCCTTCTTGATTACTCTTTCTAGGATTTTCACTGCAGTACTAGTCAAACTTATCGGTCCGTAATTTGATGGGAGCTGTCTAGAACCTCCCTTGTGGATAGGTGTCACTGTGGCATCGTTGCAGTCATAGGGGAGTGTGCCTTCACTCAATGGGCCGACTGCATAGAATGCGAGCTGCCTGAGTAGCCTTGGGTGAGGCTCATCCTATCCCGTTGATTTTTCCACGTCAATATCACTTAATATCCTAAATACGTCATTAAGATCGATATCCACAGAGTTTATTCTGTTGGATGTTGACATTCCTACTGTTGAATAAGTGTCCATAGAATATTACTGTGTGAAGACCTCAACAAAATGTCCAGCCATGGCTTCTGCTTTTTCCCTGTCATTCTCAATCAAACAGTCAGTTTCGGTCCCTTTGATTAGGGTGGGTACACCACGACACATCTTATTTCTGTAGTTCATATATGAAAATAACCTCCTTGGATATTGCGATGCAGCCTGGTTACAAAGTGTTCCAAATTATATTCGAGACCGGCGGATAGCAGTGATAAATTTATTTCAGGCTTCTTTGTAATCCTTCACCACTTTGGGTGTATCGAGGTGAGTGACAAGACTCTAACACTCTTTCTTACGTCGTAGCAAGATGCAGGTTTCGTGGAGGACAGTGTTTGGGAATTGTCCTGGTGTGAACTTGACAGACGCGAAGACCAATCACTAATTATTCGGACTCGTTATTTACTCACGAATACGAGACCAAGGAAGAACATGATAGCGTAGTCACATGGAATAGTATATTTGGGTGGTTGGGCCAAGATACCGATGCGTTCCAACTAGCTGGCTAGAGAGTCGAATATGAGCAGTGCAACGTAACACGACAGGCTGCCAAATGGCAAGAACGCCTGACCGGGTGCCTTCAGCTTAGAGAGTCCAGTTAAGCTACCAAGGTCAGCATCAATGTTGAATCTCGTCAAACGCTAGACTACTGATTTTGTGGAGGTGTGTGGCGCTACAAGTGTTTACGCCTCCTCGGGACAGTCAAGGGAGTGAACGGTTGGGTCACTCGTGTATATAACTGTTTGAAGGGGCACCGCGCACCTTCAACTGAGACTTCTGGATTGACTGTCCGGTCCTCCGAGGAGGTAAACCATATTCGCTTTCTACATTTTGGGTCTAGCTGGGGCATCGACCTGGTTCAAGACGTCTGCTGTGAATCTGAAGATGATCACAGTGTGATCACTTTCACCAAAGGGTGCTAGGTGCCGGATGAAGCGTACATCATCTGCGTGTGAAAATAATAAGTCCAGAACTGATGGAGCAGGCTGATGATCATATCTGGTTAGTGTCCTAATGTGCTGTATGAGGGCTAGGGAAATTGATGTTTCTACTAACCTGTGATCAAACGAACTACGCAGTGCTTTTGTTGTTAGTCTATTCCAGTCAACTGATGGTGCATTCAAGTCTCCTACAACTAGGCATCGGCGTTTATCTGTCTAGAGGGTCAGCCTATTCAGGGGGAAGTGTGCTGTTTCACATTCAGGGCTTCGATATACTACGATTACGTTAACATCTTGTCCCTTGCATTTTAGTCGGCTGCGCAGCATTTCACATGTTCCACTTTCATGTGCAACCGTTTCTATGACTTTTGGAGTTAAGGTATTCTTAACGTGGAGTGCGACGCAACCACAACCTCGTGTGTTTCACAGTCACCGATCCGGGAAGAGAGCGAAGTTTCTGAGATGGCAGTGATGTCGGGACTTTCGTTTCTCATCACATTACTAAGCTCAGTCCACTTGTTTAAGAGACTGCGTGCATTTGTGTGCAAGACAAGGAAACTACTTAAATAAGTTTCCGTCCTATCCGTAGAGGCTTCGACATCGTTTACTGCCGAAACCTAACCACACGAAAACCCACTACTTTCAGATCTTGCTCTTCTGCTGCTAATCTGGACTTTAGTTCTGCTTCCCACCTTTCGGTTCAATCAGCAAGGGCCAGATCCTTTTGCAAGAACACTTTAGATCCTTGAAGTCTATGAGCATTCCTCAGAATCTGATTCCACTCACCTGCTGACTTGAACGTGACTTTAGATAGCCAAAGCCCATTTTCAGTGATGGCCGCCTCCTGTTTGTATACTCTATATATCTTGAGTTGGGTGGCTCCTGGCTTATTATTCAAATTTTTCAGAACGAATGCAACTGTCTGACTACCAAAAGCTTAAAATTTAGTCTGCGACAAAGGTGTCTCGGTAAAACTACATGTGCCTATCAACACTTACAACTTCAGGATCTGACATGTTTCGCGAGTAACCAAATCACCCAGAGACTTCAAGTCTTATTTGTCTTGTTTACTATTGGTGGGACATTCCAGCATAGGAATTCAACCGGTTTGCACCAGCCGCCGTCAGAAGTGTCTTGGCAGATGGACTGTTTCGAGAAACTCACACTCAGAAAGACTCGATTTATTTCAATTTTCACTAACGATATTATTACGCAATAAGGTGTAGGTGTATATGATGTAGGTCCTCCCAGAATCACCGGCCATCCTGTGTTCTCCCTCATGCAGGCAATTCAGTGCACATGTGTTTAACTACCACTTCACTGCCATGGGACGACTGTGTTCTAGTCAGACTTTCCTCTTGACATATGAAACCGGATGCCCTGTAATCAAGATCCTATAACGAGCACGTCATGATATAGGCAACTCATTGCGTTGCATTTCTCTAGATTGTGTTACATAGGTATACATGAAGACAAATAATGTGCAGTATTCAATAGTACAGCAAAACCTGCAAAATGATTTGTGTATTAAAAATTTGGAGCTGCATTTTCCTTTGGTTCTTCATCTGAGAAATCGGGTAAAGTTCCAGCTGCGAAGAAATAGGCGTGGGCCCTTATTCGTGCTTTTTCCACCTTCTCTTCAGGGATAACTGCATGACATAGACTTGTGGTCAAAGTTTGACAGCTGTTATCCGGATTAACAGTCATGTGATAAACCCTAGCCATATCCTTCAAAATCTCGTGATGCTTTCCTTCAAAGCTTATTTGTCCACCAAATTCAGTTGGCTACTTCCCCAACCCTTCCAACAGATTTTACTGACTGATGAAGAGTAACCAAAGACATTTTACTTATAATGGTTCGACCCCTTACGGAATAATTTAGAGACACGTTCGTCATGCCATACTATTATTATCATTTGTCCCTTGGGCTCATAATGGAACATAGAGCTTCAGTGGCGCGTCCCTATTACACTCCGTTCTC